ATGCCGAAGCATTTTGTTGTCACTTGCATGTGATGTTGGGCTAATAGTTGAAAATTTGTCTCTTTTTTATTTATTTAGATTAATTATGCTGATCAGTGCATCATGTAGTTTATAGTGCTGATAAATTACCATTTAGTAATGCCAACCCAAGATTGAATCTTCCTAATATTTGCATGTTCCTTCAGTTGGGTTCCGTTATGAATAGAATATCTGTTGCTTCTTTGTGATAGGTTGGGAGTTCTGAACTTGATGAAAATATTTTGCATGCCAAAAGTAAACTTGTTTTAAATGGGACTTCTGATAATCAAGTGGAGAAACAATCAGCTGAACAAATGGTGTTGGGCAAGCAGCAACATGGAAATGCAAGTACTCATGCCTTGGTTGATAGCATGAGTGAGAAGAATCCAAATTTGTCACCACCCCAAGGTGCCTATAATAAGATGATTGGCATTGATAGTCAATTATACGATACATTGAATACATCGCAAGATTTAGAAGCTTCAAAAAATAGTGAAGTGATTGATCTCAATGCTGAAAAGCTGGCCGGGAATAAGATTGTTGGTGAATCCAATGAAGGTCATTCTACATCAATACTGGAAAAGCTCTTTAGCAGTGCTGGAGCATTAAATGGTGTTGGCTCCTCTAAGATAAGTGAGGTAATTGTGGTGTCCAATGGTGTTTCTTTTTGTATTTATAGATTTTTCCATAAATACTTGCAAAGATTACTACTCAGGACGAGTTTCAAGTTCACAAAGGTCTTGATTTTTTCTGATTTTTTATGACCATAAAATCATACCATGATGTGATCCCCCTGAACCCAGTATCTATCTTGCATCTGTGCGAGCATTTAACATGCTATTACTGTACTGAAACCTGCTATTGATAGGGTCCATTAGAATTATGTTTAGCAAAGAAGTTTTCCATTTTGGCGTTCTTAGGGTCCAATTTAGGTCCAGGTGAGTTTTTTTGTTTTTTAGTTGCAAGCATCCATCTGCATGTTCTCTTTCACATTGCTTTTCCTTGGTTAAGAGCTTCCACAATGGGCTCCTTAAAACACCTCCTCAGCTAAAATTTAGGGAGGAATTGAAAAAACCCACCTCCAACCATGCTCTCTATCTAGCTCCTAAAATAGGGAGACCTCTAGGAGCTCCTAAATCTGAGGAGAGAGAAAGTACTCCTAGTGACTCCCTATAATTAAATGCTTCTATATTTAATATTATTTTAAGCATTTATGCCAACTATTTTTAATTATTGCTTTTGTGTCTACATTTTATTCAAAAATTGAATTAAAATTTATTAAAAACATTTATGACTCTTTAAACTAGAGAGTATGGTTGGAGTTGAAATTTTGTAGAGAGCTCCTAAAATAGCTTCTAGTGTTTTTAGCTAAATTTTAAATAAAAAATAGAGAGCATGATTGTGGATGCTCTAAGTGGAAGGGCCCTCACATCACTTTTAACTGTGCAATTCATGGCTTTACATCCATCTGATCCTTATTGGCATATGTGTCAGTGTTTGTGTTTTTTTTCTCATTTAAATGAAGACGAAGTCATTAGCTTGAATCACGAGTCTCATTTATATCTTTTGTGCTTCTTTAGCATCATGATAGTAAAGCAGATGAGACATGGAGCCCTGACACTGTCCAGTCTTCCAAGTTTGCTCATTGGTTTCATGAAGAAGGTCTGCTTCCATTGATCTTTTGGACTTTAAAGTTCAAAATGCTTTCCAACATCAATTGTTTATACTTGGAATGGGAAATGTACATTTGAGCTCTAATTAGTTCAATCTTACTGCAGAAAAGAAATCTGGTGATGATCTCTCATCTGGAAGGCGAAATGACTTACTTTCATTGATCGTTGGTGGTGAAAAAGGTGGACCCCACATTTCTGATGGGATACATGATCACAGTCTTCCTACTTTTTCTTCCCAAAACTCTGAACCGGCAGACAGGCTTATGACATCAGATTTAGTATCTCCAACAGTTGGTAACACCAAGCAACCATTTAAAAAAAATAAACCAGAGGCAGTTTCGGCGGTCCTTACTTGTGAAGACCTTGAACAATCGATTCTGTCTGAAATTAGTGAAAGTGGTCCAAACTTGCAGCCCCCTGTTCAAAGGTGGGCTTTACCTGGTAAAAAGCCCGAGCAGCTGAAAGCTAATGTCGATAATCATGCATCCCAGCACCTACTTTCACTGTTGCAGAAGGGAACAGGCTTGAAAGATATGGAACCATCCCCTAATCAAGAAACAACATTTTTTGAAAAATTACATGACATGGAAGGAACAACTATTGGCAGTGCAGTTCACAGTTCAAAAGAGGACAATGCTGAAAATGCTTCTGATTCAGGGAAGAGTCTGACTCTTGAAACACTCTTTGGAACTGCTTTTATGAAAGAGTTACAATCAGTTGGCGCTCCGGTTTCTGTTAAAAGGGGCCCAATTGGGTCTGCAAGGGTAGATGTTGTAGAGCCTCAGGGGTTACCTTTTCCCGTGATAGATAACAGTCCTCTTCCATCTGCAAATGAAATTGGACCGAACACAACTAGCCATAGTAGTAATGACTTGACAGCACATAGAAGGAAGCAAACAAAATCAGATAAGATGAACTAGGTTCATCACAGGTCGGAACGGACTTGGGGTCTAAGATTGGTGTCTTTGATGGGCCTGCCGATTTTCGACTTCCCGAAGAGGATAGCTTGATTACAGTGAGTGAACCATTGAACATCCAAAATTTTATGTCTTCTGGGAATCTAGTGAAAAACAAATTGTTCTCCTCCCCAAACACACAAGTTGACATTGCTGAAAAATTGGCAGCTATGAATTCGGCCTTTAAAGATGAAAGGAGTATCATGGTAAGCCAAGAAGGTCCGCCTTTTCTTCGTGGTCCTTATGATATGAGAGAGCCTGATCTCCCATATCAGAACCTTCATGTTCAGCCATCATCTCAACAGCTCCATCATCCTCAGTTGAATCATGGGGGTTCCTTGTTCCATCAATTAGATTCTCATCCCGCTAATATCAATTCTCAGATGAATTTTATGGCGCCAGAGGGCATTATCCGAAGTGATCCTCCACCAAACCATCAATTTCATGCAAATATGGTTCGTCCACCTTTTCATCATGCAAACGCCGGGCAATCTGGGTTTGATGCTCATGCCCATCACCCTATGTTGCAACAGATGCACCTACCAGGCAACTTTCCTCCACCTCACCTGCTACAAGGATTATCCAATGCTCAACCCCTGCCTCCTCATCCCAACCGGGGTGCACCTCATCCAGCTCATCCAAGCAGTCAGGTGAATAGTTTTATGCAAGAAATGAACCCAATGCCAGGTTTTCCTTATGGTCCCCGGCAGCCCAACTTTGGTGGTCATGGAATGCCGTCACCTGGTAAAGCACTTCTCTTTGCATCTGTTGTTAGTACTTCTGGTTGATTTTATTGTGTCTGCATGATACTCTGAATTTTTATGCGAATGCATCCATTAAGTGGTTTGTGACAGATATTGTGCACGTTTACTTGTATTTCTCCTCTCAAAGCCCCAAAGTTTCTGACAATATATTTGTAGCCCTTTCATATTCTGCCTTCTTAAACCTCCAAAAATTGCATAAGTAAATTTTCTTGTTTTCCTCTATATAGTTCAACATCGATTGAAATCTTCTTTCCTTTGCTGGAATTTCAGTTTTATGCTTTATAAACATTGAACAAGCTATACTTTATTTTGGAAATTGCATGTGGTATATATACTGACGTTCTTTAAAATTCAGCTCCTGAGGTTGCTGGTGGAAGCAACCATCCAGAGGTACTCCAAAGGCTCATGGAGATGGACTTAAGGTCAAATTCGAAACAGATTCGCCCATTTGCTGCTGGTGGACATACTCAAGGGATGTACGGACATGAACTTGACATGGGTTTCGGGTATAGGTAGTTTACTCAGATGTTTGAACTTGTGCATATCTCATTGTATTGAGAGTCTCGTGGCTAGATGTGCAATTCAAGGGACGGGCGATGTGTTTAATATTGCTTATTTCAAATGGGATCTTGAGGCTAGTGTAATTAATGGATTTTTCTTGCAATTAGCATTTCACCTGGCAATTAATTTGATTGCACGTATACTTACTTGAATGAGGAAAGTCATGAATCGTAAAAGTCAGAAATTGCGTGAGGATATGGGATCAACTACTCCCCTAATCAATCTAAACTTGTTTCTGATAATTGATAGCAACTTTCTCTAATCTTTTCTTTTGAACATTCTTTATTTTCCTAATGACATGTGTCACTTTATTTATACTTAAGATAATGTCATTAATACTTGAGACAAACTAGCTTTTGTTTTCCTAATTTACCCTTATTAAATGTATTGACTTTTATATTTCTTTCAATTTATCCAATTTTTTTTTACAACTTTCTTGTCATCTTGTTAAAAATTAAATAAGAAAAAAAAAACGTCAATTATATATATATATATATATATATATATATTCAAAATTACAAACAATACAATTGCCGTAGGATTAGTCTTTTAACAAAAAAAAAAAAAGAAAAAAAATTAGCAGGAAACAACCTAAAATTTAGTTCCAGGTGGCGGAAATGGATGAGATGGTAAAAAAGATTCTTGGAAAACCTACATCATTCCAGCGAATTCAACATCAACGTACATCCAAGAACCAGGCATGTTCATACATGTTTGTTTCCACGTGAATTTGAATTTTTCACCACACGCATGGTTCTTCATCACTTTTAAATTATTTTTTAACATTTTAAGGATAAATTGAAAGAGACATGAAAGTCCATATATTTAACAAAAGCTAGCTTGTCTCAAGTATTAATGACATTGCTTTAAGTGTGAAGAAAATGACACATGTCATTTAAACTCTTAATTAAAAATAGAATATTAAAAAGAAAATTAAAAAAAAGACATCAGGAAACAACCTAAAAATTAGTTCCATGTGGCAGAAATGGATGAGATGGTAACAACATTACAAATTTATAAATAAACCCAATTCTAGACATGTATTTATAAAATTTCAAGTACTATTTAAACATAGAAACACACCCAAAATCAACCCCAAAATCAACAATTGTATATTTTTTGGGTGTGTTTATAAATGGGTTTTGAGTGTGTGTAATGATAGGTTTTGGGTGTTTGGGTGTTGGGTTTTTTTATAATTTCAGCCCCCATTTTGGGTGTTTTAGTGAAACTCCCTAAAAACAATTCTTGGAATATCTAAATCATTCCAGCGAATTCCACATCAACATACATCCAAGACCAAGGCATGTTCATACATATTTGTTTTCACGTGAATTTGAATTTTTCACCACACGCGTGGTTCTTCATCAATATATGATATATGACTTTTAAATTAAGGATTAACTACACTTTATTCCCTAGAGGTTAAGGGTCAGTATCGAAATGGGTCATGATACTTCAATTTCATCAATTTCATACCCAACATATCCAAATATGACCAATTCACCTCGTCCGTTAGATTGATCGTCTGGTCAAATGTTAAATGTTGATGTGTCAACTATCAGACCCACCACAGACCCTGACAACCCATTCCAACTAGTCCACGTGAAGGGCATTTTTGGAAAGAAAAAAAATATTTTTTAAAACAAAAATAAAAATAAAAAATTCCCCAACTCTAGCAACCTCTCTCTCCATCTCCCATCCACCCTTCGTTGACCCTCCATAGACCCCCCCTCCCCCCATCAATCCCAGGCCCTCCCCAACCCAAAACACGATCAAACATCCAAAACAAGATCAACCTCACAATCAGAACCAAATAACTCACTAGCCTATAAGTTGTTGCTTCAAATCCATAATTACCTGAGCCTAAAAAACCTAATTTGTCCCATCCAATCAAACTGAGCCATAAAAGGAGAGAAATAAAGGGAGGAGGATGGGGATGACGAAGAGAGGGGGAGAGAGAAATAGAGAGTGGGTTGGGTATGGCCCTAGTGGATTAGGGGGATGAGGACGAGAAATTGGAAATTCAGGAAATTGAAATTCATTTATTCAATAAAAACAATAAGAGTGAGAATCCGAAAATACCTACTTGGGGTTTTTGGCTCATTTTATCTGTTGCCGCTAAGCTTTCCAGTGACCAAAAACATAGCAAAAAACAGAGCAGGATTTAGGAATAGCGGTAGGTAGCTGAAAGCAAAGCAATGGGCATTTTGCATGAGGATGTTGTGGTAATTAGCCAAGCAGAGAAGGCTGGGGAACCAACTGTAATCACTATCAATTGCCCTAACAAAACTGGGTTGGGCTGTGATTTGTGCAGGGTTATATTGCTCTTTGGTCTAAGCATTTGCAAAGGAGGTGAGGGTTATTGTTTTTGATTGCTTGTTTGTTTTTTCATTTTGGTTTATGTTTTTATTTTTTTGGGTAATTCTGAGTTTTTTGGAGGTGGGTTTGGGATTTGTAGTCAGTGAAGTGGTGGACAGTGTGATTTATTTGATGTTTTTTTTTCCTTTCTGATTTACTGGGAAAGTTACTGTTTGGATATGAAATTCTTAAGAATACTAGAAATTTTGTTCTTGAGTTTTTCTGAAACTTTTTGGTGGATGAGGACTTCAACCTCACCCTCAACGTCGGCGATCGATGCCTCCTCGCCAGATTCAATGGTGCGTTAGCTTTTTTTTGTTGTGTGGTTGTCGTTTTGGGAAGCTGTTTGAATGAAATAGAAAGGCAGCCAATATATGATTCACAAGTGCAGCTAGGAGTTTCTGGGTTTTAGTTGGGGAGCCAGTTAGAGAGAAGGGAGGGCATGTTGAGGTCGTCGGCTATGGGAGGGAGACTTGTTGGGATTTTTTGTTTTTTGATTTTTGGTTTTGAAAAAGTATATATATATTTTAAAAATTATTCTTTAATTTTATTTCTGAAATGCCCTTCACGTGGACTAGTTGGAATGAGTTGTCATGGTTTGTGGCAGGTCCCACAGTTGACACATCAGCATTTAACGTTTGACCAGACAGTCAATCTAACGGATGGGTTGAATTGGTCATCTTTGGATATGTTGGGTATGAAATTGAAATCTCGGGGCCCATTTCGATACTAACTCTAAACCTCTATGAACTAAAATGTAGTTAATCCTTAAATTAATTTTTTAACAAGGTAGTAAAAAAATTGTAAAAAAAATTAAAGGATAAATTGGAGGAAACATGAAAGTTAATATATTTAATAAGGGTAAGTTTGGAAAATAAAAGTTAGTTTGTCTCAAGTATTAATATCATTGTTTTAAGTGTAAAGAAAATGACACACGTTATTAAAAAAAAAAAAAGAGAAAAAATCCAAAGGGAATGATAAAAAGAAGGTTGCTAGCATAACGGCAAGCGGTGCACGGAGGCAGGCGGCAGCGGTATGGAAGGTCTGACGGGACCATTAAGGTCGAATGATGAGAGGTCCTTATACATACGTTCCATGGTTTTGAAGGTTGAGACTGTTTCTTACGTTATTAATTCCATCAAATTGAGCTATTTGTTTTCCTCATCATGCTCCTGCCGCTTTGATCCCGATCTTCCTACTAATCCTACTGCTATTGGTGGTGATGGTGATAGAAGCAAATGCCCGTGGTGCTCCAAAACCCTCAAAGCCCCCGACGACGACATGGAGGATTGTAGTGAATTAAACCATCCGGATGATACGACAACCAGAACCGAATGCGCGGCTTGCTCCAAGGGCAATAGTGAATTACGCTATCGGGCTTCTCTCACCGGCGAGTATCTTCCCGGCTATATGGGTTGCGGTGTCTTTGGATCTCAAATTGTTTTCGGCGGAGGTGCGTAATCCCGCCTCTCAACCGTGGCCGAGTGCAGCCATAGGCGATTCGGACCAGATGCGAGTAGAGCTATATATGGATTTGAGACTCGGGATCCGAATCCCACGATCAAACTGAGGGGCCGAGAGCGTATGTTTGGGGTGAGACGATCTTATGTAATAAAAAGCCTCCATATTTTCAGGTTTTCGATCCCAACTCTAAGAAATGGTCTCCCCTTCCCGCACCTTCAATTCTCGAGCCTGGTGGAAGCTATGGAGACTTCTCTTGTGCAATTGTGGATAGTTTTATCCTTCTGTCGACTCGGACCAGTATGGTATATGGCTTTGACACTAGTGAAGAGGAACATCCAAAATGGATAGAAGTTGGGACTCCTAGTTTTTTTTCTCCGATCGTCCTCTTCCTTTTGAAGGAAAAGCTTTGCTCCTGTTGGATGACAATGAATCTTTCATGTTCAGTTATAAGAGGAAACAGCGTGGATATGCCATTGTTGTCCACTCTGTTGCGCCTGATCATGTGTCTGTTATTAAAAAATTGCCACTGGAGCAAGTTCTAGCGGAAGCGGATAAGTTGCCTGCTGATTTTCGTGATATATATTCAAGATATGACCACTGCTTTGTTCATATAGAAGGTCTGAAAGTCTGCCTAATTATGAGCTTATATATTAAAGCACCTAGAATGTCTGAAGCTGAGAAGTTGCGCATTATGTCGTTAACCTTTGAAATCTCACCACCGACCACAACAACGGGAAGGGACGTCAAACATGTTCATACTCGCTTCTTTGACTGCGATACTAGACTGTCTCACTCATCTCACCCATGTGACAACACCCTGCATGTGTGCTTGGTGCTTTTGTTCTGTAAGTAGTTTTACGCCTACTTACTTCTCTGCATTATATATGCTTAATCTATTACATAATACAGTTATATTGTGTGTTATATAAACATACATTACACATGCATAAAAATCTGAATTTTGTTATTTATGTATTTTTTGGGACAGGTAAATTGTCGAGTGAAGAATCATGCTATGAGGAGAAGACCTTGCAGGCTAGTTAGTGTTGTCTTAGCTTATTTAAGATTAGATATTTGTGGTCTGGTTGACTGTGCTTTTGTAATGGCATGAAAACAGAACTTATTTTGATATGTTTTTTTATTGTAATCAAAACTCAAGAATGGGCTGTATCGTCCTACTATTGTAATCTATTTATTCGAGTGTTGGTCTCTTTTGTTCATACAAGTTTCTTCATTTGTTATGGTTAAACGGCTCACCTCACCTCACATGGTCAAAGTTATAGTCTCAAGTTTCTGCTAAGCACAACTCTAGTCTGCTATACCCTGTTGTCTTTCATGTTTGACCAAAAATAAAATATACCGTTGTGTTTTATGAAGTGTCTACGTCTGCATGTTTTGGACCTCCTCCTAAACCCTCCCAGAACAACAAATATGGAGGCTTGCCGGCCACATTGTCAGTCCAACCTGTTTAAGCTTGTTGGAAATTTGAGCTGGCAAAACTTTACCATCAGGATCAAGAACTTTCGCATTAAGACAACGACAATCCCAGTCATCCTTGAATCCTTTGTTGCTCATTTTTGCCCCGAAAGAGTTCAGTAAGCTGGATGAAAAAAGTAGGCCTAACTACTAATATGCAGGCGCAACTCAAACACTCATCATGGCCACCGATGCACTTTTTTATCTTTCTTCGGCTGATATCAGGTATAACAATGCCAAGTCGAAGGATCAATCAAAAAAGATAAGCAAGAAATAAAAAAAAGCTTAGATAATGGATTATTTTTTGTAGAAACCTTTTCAGTTTCATTCTCTATGGCCTGGCCACCATTGCAATATCAAATCATCCCCAAGGGCCTGCAAGGTATATGCTCTTGAGAATGATGTATATAGCTCTCTGCAGCAGACACATGCCTCTGAAAAAATGTTTTTCTAGGTGTTTAATACAGAGTGTCAATGGGGAGCTTTCACTTCTTGATTTGGTTGATGAACGTTAGAGGGAGCTTACTGATTCTATTGAATTATTTTTGGGTTACATGTGGTCAATCGGAGGAGAAAACAAATCTTATTGAGGAAGTTTCATGTTAGATTATGGCCACCGAGGAATGCAGGTAATAAACTGCTATTACGGCTTTGATATCATACTGTGTTTAGCTTTATCATATTCATATGTGAGGTCTATTCACATTGATTTGTACTACGATATTTATTCTGGTTGGAAGTTTCTTTTTTCAGGTGTGGTATCCATCTCTGGGGGTTGACCCTTTTAAGCAGGAGGGTTTCTTGCAAGTACGTACGTATTCAAGAAACAGTGTTCTCTATGTAACTACGTTGTGGATTGTTGGCAGATAGTTATACTAATTATATGGAATTGATGCATAGTAAGTTTTCCCTTATTAGGAGGATTAGTTAGAATTTTCCTTAGTATAATTATGAATCTTGCACACTTTTGTTATGAGTGGGAGTGCAGTTTAAATGTGACAACCGATCAGTTCAACTGTATTTGCCTCCATGCTGTTAAAGAGTAGTAATATTTGGAACTTGCTGCTCTGTTATTGTTGTGTGATTTGAGAATTTTCCGGTAGCTGGAATTTTCTCAAGCCACCCACGCGCTGCCGGTGCGTGTGGCGGCGCGTGTGCCCTGTTTGGGTGACCCATTTGGTCCTAAAATGATCCCCATATTATTGTTTGAATTTGAATTGGATACTTGGATTTGAATTTGGTTATCGTTTGACAGTCGATCGAATTACGCATATTAGGTGCTATCCGGGTTCGATTTGTTCGGATCATTGAATTGACTTCATTTCAAAATATGTTGATCTAGGCATCTCTAGGATTATGTAGGAATTCGCGGATCGTGAATCAGAGTCCCAGATGCTTCGATTCAATGATTTAAAGATTAGGTTAAATGATAACGTCCGATCACGAGTGATCAGACCTTTCGATTCGGACCAAATTTACAGGACATGTATAATAAACCTTATGGAACCCACAAGAGCTTTCAGATCAGAAATTGGAGGTCTTGGGCCCCCCGGGCCCGGTTGACCAAAATTGGAAAGTTTGACCATTCGGTTGACCGAGCATCTCCCGAGGCTATTCCACCATTTGAAACACGTAGTTGGACCTTAGGAACTTCTCGTTTATCGTGCACACACTCGAATCCCGGGAAAACCTAGGAATTTATTTTAAAGTTCTCATTCGAAGCACTTTATTCTAATCTAGCCCTCATGTCTTTAAATAGATACTCTGACCCAGCGTACGCAACAGGCAGGACCCTTTCAAGGTCAAGCAGCGTGGACTATCTATGAGTGGACTCTATTATCAAATAATAAACATTATTTTTATGACAGAAAGCTATGCATAATTATTTATTTATTTATTTATTAAGTTTATTATATAATTAATTGTGGAAGAATGATATTTCTATAAAGTAATTGAAATACATTTGGTTATTGGCATATTATGATTTATCTTGAGTTGATATATATACTATTTTCGAGGATTTTTATCTATGCTTGATTATGTGTGGGGTACATGGGTTTGTCGGTAATGAGATTATGGAATGAGAGTTGATTGTAGTTTATGTCAATTTGAAGTGCTATAAGCACTACCCTATGTATCTCCCTAGATTTGGAATACTGAAATTGGATACTTGGAATTTCGTGATACTTGGATATGTTGGAACCTGAGCACTCTTGACGGAATGTTTCCTAGACCCTTAGCGAGGTTAGTCTGCGTGCGTAAGACTTGTCACAAGTGTACGAGTATTAAGAAATCTATTGTACATGCTGGTGAGCCTACGACCCATATTAACGATCCCTAATTGCCTTGCCTTCAAAATAAGTTAAATACCTAAGGGTGTATTCAATAAGATCTCAGACGATTTTGAAAGGCTTTTGTTAAGTGACAGATTTCATGGATTTCTATAAACTCCTGTAGATTCCACGTGGACTTTGGGGGAATCCTATAGACTCCTACGGACTTTCATGGATTTGTAGACTTTTGATTACAAAGTACAAACTTTGATGAATTTTTTCAACGTATGAGGTGTTATGATTGTGGTGGCGGTGATGGGAGGGGTTTTGGTGGGTTGGATGGGTGGGTGCACCATGGAAATATTTGAAATCCACCAAAATATCATGGGGTAAGGCTAGATTTTTTAATACAGCTAGATTTTGTAGGAGTCATTAGATTAAATACACTCAGATTTTTATACTCTTTTAAAATCTTGATTGAATACCTTTGGATTTTTTAAAGTCGTTTAAAATCCCTTCCAAATTGAATACACCCGTAGCACAATTTACAACCTGTCATGCACATTTGAAAGTGAACGTTGATCTGGTCAGAAAGCAAGATGATCTAAACAAATTGCATATGCAAGAGATATTTATGCTCCATGTATTGAAGTGTTATAAGCTCTAAACAAAATTTGATTTAAGCGCAGAAAGCTCAACGAGGAACACCCAAAATGCAAGAACTTTTGGTTAAGGAACCATTTTGCATGGTGTAAGAGGCACAGGAACCATACAGGTAGCAGATTTCTCTTATTGTTACCATTTTGAGCTCCTACTTTTATTCCACATTATGTAAAAACAAAAAACAAATATTACAACCATATACCCGAAACCCTATACAAGACAGCCTCCGGGACAAACATTGAAGTTGACTGTATCATCCCACATTCCTTGATGACAAGGTTCAAAGTACGGTATGCACACAAAACTGGGGTTGGTACTTCGACAAGCTACATAGTAACAGATATATTCTCGAAAACTCGTCACCGCGCATTCTACATATATACAAAGCCTCTCTGCACTATAACAACTGTTAGTGAACTTGGTCACTCAGCACTCCTGCCCTGGAATCCACTGTTAAGAGTTCAACAATGGGTAGATATTAGTTGCAAATATAGAGGAGTTGAAAAGTTCCATTTGCCTTCTCTATCTTTTCAGAAATAAAAACAAAAAGAGAGGAAATTCCATTTACCTTCATTTCCTAAGCAGATAGGATAGCATTCTCTGATTTACCAATGCAAGAAAAGTTGCAATTGCTATCAGATTTAGCTTTCTCAGAGTCAGCATCATATGATGAAAGTAGTTTTCTCTGTGTAGACAAAGAGAGCCGTTAATATGCAAATCACAATATAAATTTAGTAAAATCTAATATGTTTGCTAGGAAAGACGCTAATTCTAAAGTGAAGAGTGAAAAGCATTGACATGACTTGTTCCATAAGGCTCAAAGACAAGCAAAGCATAGAAAAGTTTGCCCCAAGCTAGAAACTAAAGCACTTTTTCAGATGAATCAATCTTCTTATGCAACAAAATGGACGTAACAGTCTTGTATAATCATTTTACAAATTCAACCAAGTAGATGATTGACTTGTGTGGCAACCAGCTTGCCAATTGTAAGTAGGGAATAATAGGCAATAGCTGAATTGTGAACAAAAGTATCATGTTGAATCTTTATAGTTGGATCAGCAATCAATAAATAAATTTCACATTTCAACTAGGAGACTCTGTGTGATGCTAGATGCACAAAATATGGGCAGAAATTCTTCAACAACTACTTTGTTCTCATCAGAGACATGCATTCCTCGTACTCTGAAGCTCCATGATGAAATAATACCAATAAACTATTACCATGTAGGGTCAGCACGAACCTAACCTATCTGTGAGCTAAATAGAATTTACCAGGTTATCTTAATGAAGTAGACTGTCAGGTGTAATAGTGCAATATTGAAAGTTCAGTTTAGTAGCAACCAAACACAAAGGAAAATGTTATCATGAGATGCAAGGATTATGCTCCACTCACTCATGCCAAAGTTTTAAAACCATAGAAGACAAACAATTAGAATGTTGCGTCTGTCAAGAAAGAAGTGCTTTAGCTGAGAAAGAGAATACTTACATGATCCTCAAATTCTGGACTTGTCAAATTAAGGGAGAGGTTCCGCATCAGCAAAAGTACCTGGGAAGGATCCAAATAACACTTGAGTAAATCAGCACCTTCCTTAGCAGTTAGAGCAAGGCCAAACAACTGTTCTAAAACTAGAGTCTAAATACGAACTCTTTCAATGACATGAATGGCCAAATAAATAAATAAAATTGGTTACAAAGATTTTAAAATCAACTTACGGTTTCCAAATTTATGGGGTCTAATTCTTTCAATCTCTCCAAATGACTAGTCGCATTGGGGTCAAACACACTGCCGATAAATTTATACACCTGAGCAAAATCTGGCAAAACTGCACATACAGGAACTAAATTTAATACCAATATAATTGAAACAAATGTCATGGACAGCTGATGAACATTGCAATACCAGAGAAGAATCTACATCTGATTCTGAGTTTCATGCAAGCAACATCTTACTGTATGAAACTGGTTAAGGATAGAATGTAGATGTCAAAGGCTACACTCCAATATCACCTCCTTAAGCAGTTGATATAATTTTAACAAGAATAAAACTTCTTAATTCAAACATAACAAAGACATATTTAAAAAAAGAGAAAGAATTTAAACCTCTATGTGGCTGGCCAGGATCTGCTCGATCAACTTTCTCACTCATTTGCCAAGTTGTTGGGTTGCTTTCATTACTACTACTGTAGCAAGAGTTATGTGCAACAGTTGGCCCCGCTAACCTTCCATCGTCTAATAAATAACACGAAAAAAAAAAATCATATTTTAACAAAATAGAGGAACAACTTGTTATGGTTAAATCAATCAATAATAAGTCACAAAGACAGGCAGGAAAAGCTGAAACCTTTAGTTATTTGCGACACATTGACTGGAGGCACAGAATTATAACTCCACGAAGATAAAGTCGCACTGGTAACTGGAGTTCCAAGCGCAAATGAAGAATCTGGCTGGTAAACATATCCATGTTCAAGCAAAGCAGATGAAGATTGAAACTGCCCAGCAACTTGAGATACAACTGCAGCTGCAAGAAATTAACTTATGAAGGAGAATTCTTTTAAAACCATAAGAAAAATTTCCAATAAAACAATGGTTGACTATGTTTACCACTTTTTGGAGCCTTTTGTGGGTATGGATGAGTCGCTTTCCTCTTAGGCCGAGGTGGAGGTACATGTTCACTTGTCCCTTTCTTCTGAACCTTTAAAAAGTACTTCTGTGCATGACTACGTATCTGACAGGAATGACAGTTACCTTTAATACAGTGAAGACATGTATATCATATATGAATTGAAATGGAGCCAAAAGAAATTTGATAAGACCAAGTCACCAAGCAGATAAAAGGCCTACTAAAGGTAAGTGATATACATAATCACTTATAGATGCTACAACCATGAAATTTTAAGAGGCATTCTTGCAGAACCCTACAAAATGTTTTGATATTCTTCCAGTATTCATATGACTCTTTCCTATACACCCGAGAAAGACAATGAAAAAACCTCATAACCCAAAAAAAAAAAGGAAAAAAAAAAGGTATTATATTTATCCTACGTTTTTGTTTATTTTCTATCTGCAAATACATGATAAGTTTGACTGCAAAAAGTAGTCACCTGGATAACCGTTTTTGAGCCAACAAATGCTTCAATCTTCTTCCAGTCACGATCAAATCTAAGTCGAGCCAAGTAAACAAAAATAAGAATGAAACATAAACAAGGACGAATTTTTTTGAAAAGAAAATATAAACAAGGAGGAATGACTTGCATGAAAATAATTAAACATACATTCAAGTTTTCTACTCTATCTTTTGTTTTTTTTTTTTTTTGGGGCGACCTACTGAGGCAAGTCCTGCTATTCAACAAATCTAAATATATAAGGAATTTTAAAAAAAATTACGACTTGAGAAAACAGTAAACTCCACATAGACGAGCTTAGTACTATTTTTGGTTTCTTTTCCCCCACCACTTTTGTATCTCAATTTTCTTGGATACCAAACCATGTAAAGCACCTAGTACTACCTAAAAATTGGTATCAAGAATGAAATTCCAAAATCAAAGAAATGTTCAAGATTTGAAACTTGTATAAAATAAATTCATCACTTAAATGAACCTAATCCGATCAATTGGATCCACTAAACCGATATATTAATTTCAAATACGGCCTAAGGTACAAAAGAACGTTCACAATATACAAGGTCTCATTTCTCTTATACTTGAAAGCTGCTAGCCCACTAGTCCAAAACCCAAAAAACTCACCCCTTGTGACAAACTTCTAACTCCAACTTAGCCAAATTAATATATTGAGCGTAAATTGACTAGTAATACCCACCAAATTATCTATAATTATAAGTACCAAATATCCAAAACCAAATGACCCGTAATAAACTCCAATTCTCTACTTGGTTAGTAAGAAATGCAAGGAAAAAGAAATAATCCATTACTCCAAAAAAAAAAAAAAACCATTCCAAACCCCAATCGTTCAGTCATTTAATTTGAAAACAAAGCTTTTCCATTTAATTCTTATATTGAGAAACAAAATATAAAAAAACCAAGCTTTTACATCTATTTTCCATATCCTGTCCCCAATTTTCTTGAGCAACAAAACAGAGCCCAAATTCGCAAACATAAACCCAAAAAAACAACAGTAATAACATAAAATTGAGCTGGCTTACAGCTGAAGAGCTTCGAGAAACTTGTCGTGCTCTTGCTCCGTCCAGCTCTCTCTGGACTTGGTAATCGTATACGGTTTCCGGATCTTCTTGCTTTGATCCTCGGCCAGCAACGACGTGGCGTTGGTGGGCGTGGACGACGCAGTACAAGCCGTCGTACTGGTCGCGGCCGAAGCTGTAGTAGCAGTTGCTGTCGGCGGTGGCATAGAATTGAGACCCGGAAGGCCCATATTCATGGGATCGAACAAGTAAAAACCTTGAGCTGGGTTTGGGTTCACAGACACCATAAGCTACAAGAAGCTGCCTATAATCTCAGAGCTTCAAACTTCAAAGCTGTTAACTTTGTAAACAAACCACACAAAGTGAAAGCGTTTTTCTCTGTTTTCTGAAATGTGGGTTTTTTGTTGCTTGACAATTTAGTTTGTATTGGTGTCTTTGTTTTGGTAGGAAAATGTGGTGTAGAAATGAAACCGCCTCTGGCAGTTCCACCTATTTAAGTATTTATTTATAAATTATAAGAAAAAAAGTCACTTTCAGTCCTTATAATTTGATGATTTTTTCATTTTGATATACGTAACTTTAATTTGGACAATTTAAGAATACATTCCAATTTCAATCTAATCCTAAACAAGTAACAGACTCATGCTTATTCCATCGTGAAATTTAATAGAAATTTGAACGTGTCCTTCAATTACGATAGACATCAAATTACAAGAGTTAAATTGCTATAATTAAAACCTTAAAAATCAAAGTGGAAAATTCAATAAACTATAGAAACCAAAAATAAAATTTTGCCTTAGGTGATAAAATTTAATTACCACATCAAAATTATCAGTATATTTGTTAACTTAGATATATTTTTACATCTATTCCATTTTAGCTGTAATATGAATACATTTTTGTTAATTTAGGTAGGGAAACTAAAAATATTACCTACGTCTTAGGTATGACCGCACACGTGGCGACATTTCGATATGGTATCAGACTGTGTGCTGGGCAATGGGCATACGGGAAGGGGCATGTGGCAAGTGCCAACGCCGTCTAATATTAAATTCCACAAGTTTTTAGCTACGTGGGATAATCCAATTGGTCAGAGTTTAAGGGCATGCCCAAAGCCCCTTTAGTTTTTTTCTCTGGTAAGTGACGTGAGCAGAAGTCCCTCTCCCCCAAAGTGGCCCAACACTGTCCAACTTTGTCATTGTCCTTCATGGTTGTCAAGTATGAGGAAAAGTCTTGTGTTGATCTTCTTTCTTTTCTTTTTTTTTCATTATTTTGTTTAAGTTTTGGCATACAATTCCATTTGAAAATGGATACATCTTCTAACTTCACAGAAAGGTCTCCTTTTGCAACCCATACCAAAACTCTAACCCCAATTTAGGAGCATACCCATATTTTGAGACAAGAGTGACAACTCATCGGATGCCAAATTTTAGGTATGTTTTAAGGGACTTTGAGATTGGAAGCTCTACCATGTAGGACATTTAATTTCAACTACGTTTCGATCGCCAAATCTATAAATGTTGATGATCTAATAGTCGTAAAAGTATTATACGTCATATTTGATCTTTTCTGATCTAATTATTAAAAAGTGATTATATGTCATATTTAGCTACATGTTAGACGAAAGCTTGTCAATTCAAAATAATTTTTATACACATTGAGATATTGAAATACCATAGGAGTGAGATTGAATACTGCATAAATTGTGGTTGGATCTATCTTAAACTTAAAAATTCAGCGGCTAAAACGTGAATTAAACACTATAAAGACAATTAAAAAATTTAAACGGCTAAGAAATGACATCAAGTGTATCTGTAATCTATAATAATATTATAATATTCTACCAACGAAATCTGAAAGGTGCAGGGAAGGATCTAGAGTTTCTAGAGTTTGTCGACAGCATCGCTGTTAACCAAGAAGATCTTGGCCCACTCCTTTTGGTAAACAGAGTCAAAGAACACGTACTAAACAAGCAAAACCTAATTAGTTAATTTAATATGAGTTAATTCGAAGTGAATCATGAAATCACGTCTTAATTGGAATTATGAGTTAATCACGTCCTATAACAATTTGCGAGGGAAATTCAATTTAATTATGAGGCTCATTATTTACTTCTTTGGTGGTCCTCGGACAATGGAGTTGCTAAAAGCATTGCACAGCATTCCAAGGTCCCGCCCCAAAAAGAACTTCAATACAAAGGTATTCCGAACCAATCACAACACTATCACGTGACAAAATTAAAATATATAACAGTACGTGTGATTAAATTGGGATACCCCTAAAATGCATTCCATCAGAACACCTGGTACATACAATGGGATCACAATCGTAAACGAAACCCTACACTTGCAAGGTTGGGGACTTGATCTCGTCCGTAAACGGTACACATCTCCACTCTTCAATATGAGTTTGTTTCAAAGATAACACTAAACTCAATTATAACAGGAAGGTAGAAATGATTTGTGCACAACCCGTATCTGCCAATTGGTGCACTTAAGCATATTTAGGTCATAAAATAACACTAAACTTAAACTTAAACTTCCTTGAGGAATGAGTTATACAACCGCCATCCCTTGGAGGAAACCAAAGGATATTATACCTTGTACATTATAAAATACATGCATCTCATATCCGGAGGCTGAAAACCCAGACACAAATCTCCCTACTAGCTGATAATATTATAACAGAAAAACTGGAAATGGAAGTGGAGGGAACCAAAAAAAATAACAAAAAAGAACTTTACAACTTTCAGGATGTTTAAAAATGATACAAACCTCAGAAGAGGGAAAAAAAATCAGAATAATAATGTTCAGCTCCTTATACTCTCACGTTCGAGTCTAATCAAGCCAGCGTGTAACCCCATCTTCCCCTATGGTGGCCAGAATCTCGATGCTTACTTCCAAAACAGCCTACATTTTTTTTTTTTTTTTGGCATCAATGAAGAATTCTAAAGGTGAGAGGAATGAAATTGCCAACAATATTAACTATTTTATGAACTTCACATGAAATGAATATATGCACTAAAATTAACCAAGGCAATTGATAACAGTAAAATGTTCAATCGAGGCATACAAAGCAAATCATCAGAAAATCATTCTTCATTGAATAATAAGCTCAATTTAGCAAGCCAAACAAAGCCCTCACAATTTAGCACATCTAGGATGGGATACAATTATAGCATGGAGTCAAAAATGAGAGGCAAATTCTTACAGTATCAAATCTAATCACCTATGGCTACAAAAATACCATGAGCAAATTTTTTCTTCTTTTGTGGGGGAACGTGTTTGGTCAAGCTTAAGGAGACAACTTTATCATGAAAGCATATATAATATAACTACATAAAGCAAAGGAACTTACCAACGGATTTCTACAGTTAACCAGCCTACATTCCTCCAGAGAACCTTCCAACATCCAACTCTCCCAGACATCAAAACTGTGACTGGCAAATACAAATTCCATTCTTCTATTTATCTGCAATGTTAAAATGGCACCTGATTTTAATCCCAAACAGAAGCTGTGACATTTTAGGATCAATTTGTAATCTCTTTCAAAGTTAAGGACTTCCTGGAGTGACAGTTGATAAAAGCAATGTTAGGGAGTTCGAATGCAACCACAGTAAACTAACATTACCTGCAGTAACTTTCCACCAGCAGCAAAAGATCGCAAACCAATTGTGTCCTACAATAAAAAAATCAATGCTCTCATATCAGCTAACCAGATCGCAATTAAAAAATTCAGTGACACTAGCCACCATAGTTTGCATAATAGGAGACAATTTAGGTCCAAAAGAAAAGAAAAGAAATAAGTTCTTGCATACTAACCTTGCTTCTTAAAACAATGAGGAACTGAGCTGCTGGATCTCTTTTCGATACATTTGACATAGTATCTAGGAACCAACCACCACCTTTAACTCTTTGCCTTGCGACATGGAGAGCAGGACGATCTCTTGCATACAAAGATACAACATACCCATCCTTCAACAGCTCACCAGGCTTTCCACTGACCCTCCTGCTAGATTTTAGAAGCTGGTCGGAAGGAGATTCTTGCATTGATTCTATGGGAGTTTTCCTACTTCTTAAGTCTTCTGGGGAGGCAAACCGAGAGCTGGAGCTTAATGCTTGATCAGTGCCACTCATAGCCGTGTCTTCTTCCCGCTGCGAGGTACTTTCTTTTTCTTGTGAAGGGTCATCAGATTTTTGCCTGGATTTTTGATGTGCGTGCCTCTTTTTGGCTTTCTTACCTGCTCTGCCTCGTCTTCCATCAGATCGAGTGGCAGTACTTTGAGACAAACCTGAACCTTGGTGCTGGCTAGGAGACTCCTTGGATTGATTAGCTTCTTTCTTCTGAGAGCTTTCTGGACTTGCATGAATGACTTCAGTTGGTTGCTCAACAACGGATAGCTGCAAGCTACTTTCTCTGTCCAGTTTATCTGACCCTTCATTTTCATCACCTATTTCACTTTCATCCTCTTCATCCGATACAGCATTTTTTGGAACAATCCCATCAAAGAAGAATGACTGCAATATGGAGATAGCTTTCTCCCTTATTTCCAACCATACTTCTTCACTATAATCTGCACTGTGTGGAAGTATCAACACATTGGGCATCTCCTTTACCTGAAGTAAACCCATGACAAGATATCTTAGCATCACCCTAATATATCAAATTTTGATGTTCCAGGAGTGCATCACTCATATATGGGTAGCCATAATATACAACGAGGAAGAAAGAAGAAAAATACTATCAGAATATACGATCATCCAGAAGCAAGTAACATTTCCATCCCTTTCCCCCTTTCACAGAAGGCAAATACCACTAAGTTATCACATGTCAACCAAACACTATGTGGTTTCCTAGCAAGGGCTACAGAGACATGTGTCAGTTCAAAGGCAGTTTTGGCTAACAATGCAAATGCAATTTTTCCACTATGATAAGCACAATCCACATCCAATAATTCAGAAACCAAGCACCCAAGACTGATAAGATATGAGAAACAATTTTTTTTTTTCCTGCAATTAGGCAAGGTGGCAATCAATGAGAAGATATAGTACAAGGCTAGAACAAAAACATCCACAGACATACGCATACTTTGCATGCCAGTATGGACAGTTCGCAACAAAATTTGATCTACAGATTAGAGCTCCAAGGCTATTTGATGAGAAAGTCTGGAGACCACTCCGGAAATGGAACAAAAAAAGGAACTAAACTAAATGGATATAATGAAAGCATGCTGAAGCAATCAAGTACAAGTATTTGCTCAGAAATTGACACAGCCTATGTTAGCAAGTCCATAACCCATAACTAGTTAGCATACCCATGCTTCCATCCATTGTGGGCCTTCAGCACCATCCAAAGCACACCCAGCTAAGGTTCCGTCAATCAAAAGCTGTTTCACAAAACAATCATCCAATAGCTGACTGCTCCCCGTGTTTACAAGAAATGCTCCTGCACAAGAAAACTATATTCATTCCACGCTAATATAAAATATATAAGGGACCAAAAAATTCCTTAAACACAGACCAAAATGAAGATAAATGTACCAGGCTTTACGTGCTGTAAACATTCAGCATTGAGAATCTGAACTGTTTCATTTGTCAGAGAACAGTGAAGTGAAACAAGGTCACTTGCAGCCAGTAAATCATTAAGAGTATCCATTCTTCGGGCAGCAGAAGGAAAGCTTATGGAAGACCTGCTTACTTTTCTGTTCACCTGAATATCATGTTTCAGACAAAAAGTTTAAAGAAAAATAATAAATTCAACCTTAAGAATCAAATGTGAGACGCAAAAGGTAGTTTGAAACTAGAAAATACACAATGTCAATCTTATTCAATTACCATCAATGAAAGTGAAAAAACAAGTTTATTTTCATATATAGTGAAAAATATTTAAAGATACTAAAAAAAATTACTTTTCAGAATTCATATGAATTTGAGGCTAGTAGCAAGTACTACACAACAGCCAAAACACCCAATAAGTAAATAAGTAAAAGTCCACAATTTCTTAAGTTTCCACAAGTAATGCATTCTACTTCGATAAGACCTACCCAAATCCGTCCCAAAATAAATATTAAAGAAGCGCACTTTAAGCTTGAAACATCACAATGAATATATCTAAACTTTTTTTCCCATCTGAATACATTTTAAGCTCAGAACGTAGATTAGGACAGCACAAACATAAATTCTACCACATTTCCATCATACTATGCTTCAGTAAGCATGAGAAGAACATTGTCTCTCGACAAAATTAATATGAACTATGAAAGCACATTCAAATGTTACATATTTCACATTTTAGATACTCCTTGTTAAACCACTCAACCTTGTTCGATTCACAAACTTCAAATGAAGCACATTTTGTGCTACTAAACATCAACTGCAACTTAGCCAATTATTGAAGACAGAGAGGTAAATACGATCGAAATGGTACCTCTACATCTTGAACATCGAAATAGAGCACACTCATTTTGAAAGCCAAGCTCCTAGTAGCCAGAGACCTCGCCGACGCAGATCTACCGATAATCCCCAAAACCAAACCACGACACCTTCTCATCCCACGGCACAGCGGCTGGATCGAACCAAGCCACCCTGAAGCCGAGAGTGCGTGGCGGGAGAGCATGTGCGTCCGGCGCAGCAAGCCGAGGAAGAGCGCCATGACTGTGTCGGCGATCTCCTCGGCGCGCGATGTATCTACGTGGACGAGCCGGAGCCCGAGGTCGGCGGCCAAGGCCGAATCGACGGCGCGGTCGGCTGAGCCGAGGCAGAGGATGAGCTGGTAGGGACGGAGGCGGCGCTGGGCTGCGCGTGGGAGGTAGGCAAGGGACTGTAGGAGCACGGCGGATGCCGACTCGATCCTTCCGTCGGCGAGACGACTGAGTGGCACGTGCTCGACGGCGGCGACGCCGGACAAGGAGTCTTGCTCCATGGCGAAGTCATCGATGCAGTTGAGAGTGACGACCAGGGGGAGCGATGAGGGTGAGGTCGTAGGGCTGCTACGGTGGAGCATTGTCGCAGGGGATCTGAGACCGGTGCTGGCGCTCATCGTTTGGGTTGGTGGTGGCGGGTTAGGGTTCATGATTGTAATTTTGGGCATTTCTAGGGGTTAAGATTGGGGAGGTCTTCCATTGCTTTGCTGGAGAGAGTTGAGAGCTTCAATTCAAGTGTCCAGTGCTGAGATCCAGTGCCCCCTAGTCGTCTTCGGCTTTGCCGCTCTGTTTACTCATCACATACCCTTGTCATTTTACATAATTCTCTCCATATCCCCACCCATTTTTTTTCTTTTTTTCTTTTTTTGGGGTGGTTTTTTCTGCTTCTTTAGTATCTAGCATCTCTACGTACCACGGCCAGCAGCACTTTAAAATGTCATGGTCATGGACTCATGGAGGCTTATGGATATTGAATATATGCGGATATGCCCTTTAATGTTTTTATTATTTTATACAAGTTGCATATTTAGCTTACGGAGGATTATGAATTGGCAGCTGCTACATATTGGGCAATTGGCAGGTCCAATATGAATGAATATGAATATGATGGTTGTCATTGCAAGTTCCAACAGTTTTCTATATGGGGGGAATAGATCATTTTAGCACTTGACATATAAATGTTCTCCAATTTTTATGCTACATGGACCTATATACAAAAATGGATTACTTACCCGCACCGGTTTCATATTTGTTCCCATCTCTCTCATATGATACGAGAGTCTCATGATGAGAGAGAGAGAGAGAGAGAGAGAGAGAGAGAAACAGAAGATATGAAATGAAATCAAGAAATGCAAGTTTTTCTCATGTTGATGATGGGGCTAAAAATGTTATAACAAAACCTTGGTTTGTGGGATAGGTGATACAAGAACGCATTCACCTGCTAACTACAAATGCATAATCTTGTTTTCAATAAAATGCAATTGATTTTCTGTATACAACTCCTCCCCATATTTACCTGTTTAAGTGTTGATCATGCGAACGTGAATACAAGAACTTCTCTTTGATGACGGATGAGATCAAAATATGTGCATCTATCTACAGGACAATAGGGAATTATATCATTACTTCATCAACAGCATGCCCACTGCTTGCTCGCACTGAATTTTATTTAATAGAATGGAGGAGTGAGAAAGAGAAAAAAAACATTACAATTCAAAACAAGTGAAGAAACAGTGCACTATCTACAAAAACATCCATGTTATGAACTTCCCAACGAACTCCAAAGACAGCAAAACTTTCTACAACATATGAAAAAATAGACAAATACATACATCTTCATCAAAGTAGAGTCGAACCTCATACAAGCTTATGCCGGCCGCTAGACAAGTCATGTTATTGTACCTACAGCTCCATCAGATCTTCAAAGTTTATTGCATTTTCCTCTCTCTGAAGGCTGAACTGTTTCAAAAGGACCAAGGCAAATCCGCACTGTGACAGTGTCTATGTTTCATTCAAACAACATTTCAGTGGTCCAGTAACCAGCCTTGGGAGTGAAATGAAGAACTTTGGCATCCTTTGAAAAACTTTATGTAAACATAAAACTATTAAACAGAAACAACTGTACAAAACTTCCAATCCAACTACAAAATCTCGTGCTCAACAGATTTATGTTACCGATTTTATGCCGTTCTCACTTCCTCTTCCACAATCTTTAAATATTTCATTATTCCTGTTTCCCCTTGATTTCACCAAAGGCATTCCCAATTATCCAGTTCAGAGAAACCTCCTCCTGAAATTACTGGTAGTCGCTTGATAGGAACGCATGAGCAGTCCAACACCAATCCCTATCCTGAAATGAAATCAAGAAATGCAAGTTTTTCTCATGTTGATGATGGGGCTAAAAATGTTATAACAAAACCTTGGTTTGTGGGATAGGTGATACAAGAACGCATTCACCTGCTAACTACAAATGCATAATCTTGTTTTCAATAAAATGCAATTGATTTTCTGTATACAACTCCTCCCCATATTTACCTGTTTAAGTGTTGATCATGCGAACGTGAATACAAGAACTTCTCTTTGATGACGGATGAGATCAAAATATGTGCATCTATCTACAGGACAATAGGGAATTATATCATTACTTCATCAACAGCATGCCCACTGCTTGCTCGCACTGAATTTTATTTAATAGAATGGAGGAGTGAGAAAGAGAAAAAAAACATTACAATTCAAAACAAGTGAAGAAACAGTGCACTATCTACAAAAACATCCATGTTATGAACTTCCCAACGAACTCCAAAGACAGCAAAACTTTCTACAACATATGAAAAAATAGACAAATACATACATCTTCATCAAAGTAGAGTCGAACCTCATACAAGCTTATGCCGGCCGCTAGACAAGTCATGTTATTGTACCTACAGCTCCATCAGATCTTCAAAGTTTATTGCATTTTCCTCTCTCTGAAGGCTGAACTGTTTCAAAAGGACCAAGGCAAATCCGCACTGTGACAGTGTCTATGTTTCATTCAAACAACATTTCAGTGGTCCAGTAACCAGCCTTGGGAGTGAAATGAAGAACTTTGGCATCCTTTGAAAAACTTTATGTAAACATAAAACTATTAAACAGAAACAACTGTACAAAACTTCCAATCCAACTACAAAATCTCGTGCTCAACAGATTTATGTTACCGATTTTATGCCGTTCTCACTTCCTCTTCCACAATCTTTAAATATTTCATTATTCCTGTTTCCCCTTGATTTCACCAAAGGCATTCCCAATTATCCAGTTCAGAGAAACCTCCTCCTGAAATTACTGGTAGTCGCTTGATAGGAACGCATGAGCAGTCCAACACCAATCCCTATCCCAAGGCACATCCCGAGGCCAATTCCAACACCAACTCTAACACCAGCATTAAACCATGTGAGTTGGCCATCTTCACCAGTGTACATGTCATCAGAGTAGAAATGATGTCCAATTTTCCCTTCTGACTCATACTCATCGATTTCAGGTTCTGTGATCTGCACAGGCCCACCCAATCAAGGACTCTAAGTCAGTTAAAAGTTAAAACAACAGAAGATAATTATGCTTCTTCCCTCCAGTTCAAAGCCTGGGTTACCAAAGTGAACATGAAGGCAGGAAAATTAAGTACCAAAACAAGCTTCAAAAACCAACATTTTTAGGAAAGCCCCCCCAAAAAGAGCATATCTTTTGATCAATGCATTGCAGAAATGACGCTAACTAGCTAATAAGCAAGCCACCAATGCACTATAAGTTTTATATGTATATGTCCACCAAAAAATAAAAAGTAGAATGAAAAAGCAGAGGGCCCTAGGCTTGTCAATGAACTTAGAAAGCCCTGAATTGATCTAGTTTGCGGAACTTTTCCATTGCAGCAGTGGTTATTGCATTTGTTGACGAAGCAAATCCAAAAACAGAACGGAATCCAAAAAACAACAAACATTTCCTTCCCAACAGAGACCTCAACAACTAAAATAAATAATAAATAAACAAAATTAGGCAATCCCTTCTCATTTCCCTATAAAACCACAGAATGGATGGTTTTCTATGTATTATAAATCATTTCTTAGATATAAACCTACAGGTTTTGAAAGAGTAGTGGATCAAATATTGGAGCAATAAATTAAACTTATGATCCACAGCATCAGTCCCTCGTTGAAAGAGTGGGTTGTGCATTATCATTCCACTTAATAGAAATAGTAATAAGTAATTTTTTGACAAAAACAAGGATTCATGGAGCATCTTATAGAACTGCAAAATATTATAATTTCAACCAAAGGCATAGTTGAGCACAGGGTCTTAGGCTACAAAGTGACTCTTACACATAATGCCATACTGGCAAACACATATACCTGTATAAAACAACCAAATGCAGGAAAGCCCCAAATAATTGAGCGTCCATAGCCACAAAAATTTACATGAATTTCATCAGAGATACAAACTCTTTACTACTACCAGGCCAAATCCTCACAAAATCACAATGTGACTATGAACAATTATCAAAACCATGTTCAATTAAAAAATAGCCAACACAAAGCAAAATCAATGACAACGTTTCAATACCTGAACTTTCCGATGGCGAACCAACCCATTACAGCTCTCGCCGTGCTCCTTCCCAACCTCCTCATCCTCTGGAATCGCATCCAGCATGGCGTGACGGGTGCCCTTCCGCCTCGGGCTAATCTGTATCGTCTTTGTCAAGATGACCGGCACGCCGGAGCAACATCCGGCGATATAAACCTCGATGGACGGCGACGAAAGTCCGAGTTTCGGCCGAAAAAAGGCGGAAGAACCCGAATTGATTGACGCAGCCATATAACAATCCATACTCCAACCCGTTTTCGAATCATTCTTCAATCCCCCGGCATTTCCATTGAGCCAAACACCCTCCATTCGCTCCAGAGACCCACACAGAACCATGTCATTGTTCTCATACACCTCGAATTCGACCGGGCCGGTGACCCGAACGCTGTCGGTGCTCACATACGTGACCTCCGACGATTCCTTGTCAACCCGATCGCGCCGGAGCGTGAGCGAGGCCGAGTCCGAAGCCGGAACTTTGGTCCCGTTGATTTCAAGCGATACGCCAATTTCTCGGCGGAGGTGACGGAGCGTGAGGTGGTCGGGAACACTATCGATCACGCACGGCGCGACCCGGACGTAGAACAATCGGATTTCGAACCAGGCGGAGTGGGCCAAGGACGGCCCGTTTAGAACCTGAATCGAATTCTGGATCGAATTGGGGGTCTTGGATATGGCCACCGCAGACGAGTCCTTGTCATGCTGCTCCATTAAAACCCTAATTCACAATCGAAATCGGAGAATTGGATGTCGGAAATTAGGGTTTTGAAATAAGAAAAACAAAAGCGAAGCAATTTCTCCTCGTTAATTTAATTTTTCAGTATTTTGTCTTGTGGGAGATTAAAGTTTGGAAGACATGAATAAGCTCTGGTGATCCACGTTTTGGGAAAGCTGCGAAAACGAAGAGGTTCGTTGCGGAAAACAGGGTTTTTGGTAGCGAAAGATTTACAAACGGAGGAACGGAGAAACAGACAGAGAGAGAGAGAGAGTTTTTATTTTTTATTTTTTGGATGTGTGGGAAAAAATAACGTAACATGGTGGATTTTGATTTTTTTCATGCGGAGTGTTGTGGAGCGGGGGATGTGTTGGTTGAAGATATTTTTTCTCGTCGGTTTACGATAGTGCAGACGGGGTCAACCATTTGGGACACGCGTCGTCGTTCTGGGCTCTACGAAAAACAAGTAAAACAGCCTTTGTCCTTTTTCTTCTTTCAACAGTATACAACAAAAGCTAGACAACTAAATATTTTCTTTTTTGGTAGCGACAACAATCTATTCACGTAAATATTTCCATGGCATTATTTCTTTAAAATTTAGGGAGACTTTGGAAAAAGCAAAAGGAGAGAGAAATTTTTTAAAAGAAGCCAAAATGGACAAAATTGCCCTTATTTATTTTTGGATTTCCTAAGGAATCATTTATATTTGCATGTCTTTGATTTGAAAGTTGAGAGATTTTTCTGTCTTTTTTGAAAAAGTTTTGATTTTTTCCAAAAGTGAAAGTTTTTTTATGGCTAAAACCTAAATTTACTTAAAATTTATTCTTCTTATTTGGATGTCCAGACTAATCTAATTTATAAGGACAAGAATTCAAACTTGGATGTAAGAAAGTAAGCTCATTGTCCTGATCAATCCATATTTGCGAGAAGAATGATTTTTGTAATGACAAAAGATGATGCAATCAAATAAAAAAATTTCATGTTTAGTGTGGAAGAAAAATATCTTGGATTCTAGGTCAAATAATTAAGCCAATCAATTTGAGAATTATTTGACCAAATTGAAAATTATTTGATTCTTACCCTAATTGGGGATTTGATTTTAATCAAAACCTTGATTAAATCAATCTTCGGACGAATATTCTTAGGGACGAAAATCACTCCCACAAATTGGCGCTTTCAAAAGCGCCAATTTGTGGGAGTGATTTTCGTCCCTTAGTATATTCTATCAATAGATTCCACTTTCTCCTTCCTCGAACTCTTTCTCCTTGCAAAACCAATCGGAATAAAAGGACCACTCCCGATGGGTGTTGGCCAAAAGCCCTCCGATGCATAAGTTAGTTCGATTGAATCTAGGTGAAACAATAGCTAAAAAAGAGTACGTAGATTTCTCTAGGGTGATAACTAGGTGGCCGGAGCCGTCTGTGGTGAATGGAGCCTTGTGTGTGTGTGTGTGTGTGTATGTGTGTGTGTGTGTGTGTGTGAGAGAGAGAGAGAGAGAGAGAGAGGGAGGTGGCGACAAGGAGGGGAATTTCTGCACATTTAGCATAACTAATCTTCACATTTTCTTTCAATAAAAGTGGCAAGAATTTCTTAAATTCCAATTTCATGGAGAAAAAAAAAATTGCAAATATGGGTCATTTATTTAAGGGAAAAAGTCATTTTATGATGTTTTGAATTAAAAATAAAACACAAAAGAAAATGTGGGTTAGGCCAGTTGGTCAGGGCAGTGGACCACCTCTCTTGCACCCATGTTCGAATCGCTTTGATAATAAAAATTAATAATAAATAAACAAATAGGAAGTGCCTTGGTGAAAGGAAAGTTTGCATGGCAGGCCCCATTGGACCAGGTTTCTATTGGGAAACCCAGAAGTGGAAAGCTCGTTTCAAACAAAGCACAAGAAAATGAGCCGAAACATGAATCCGAGAGCAGCCCAATTACTTTTTGCTTCTTTTATTTCTCTTCTTCCCAAACCTAAACAATACATGTCCTGTAACCAAAAAAAAAAAAGGCCAATACATGTCCTTATCAAATATTGGGCCCATCATATTTACCCTAGCCCTAGCTTGTGCCCAACTTATGGGTTCTTTTGGGATCCCAATCCGTCCAACTCCTCAAAACTTACGGAGAACGGAACTGTAGTGTATACTGAGGGTTAGTTTTTTATTTTATTTTTTATGCAAGCGTTAGTCTAAATTACTTTAAAATAATATAATCTATGATGAGTCTAAATTACTTTAAAGTAATATAATCTATGATGAGGGGGAGTCGAATTTGAGTGCATGGAAATGAGTTTATTGTCCTCGTCAATCAGCCTAATTCACGTCATGTCTGCCCAATGGTATATTCGATGCAACTAAACTGCAAAGGAACGCGACGATATTAAGATTATTAGATGTAGTAGTGAAAATAATTTGGAGCCTTACATGTCTTCCATCCGGCCGCGGACCTCACCTCGTCGTGTCAAACTTTTGTGGCGGATTTGAAAGCAAAAAGATTCGTACATATCCATGTCACCCAAGCAAAGCAAACACAGAGGAGGCAACCTTAAGAGAGTAATTAACAAAAGAATAAAGTCGAAATGATAGTTAACTAATAGTGGAACAAGAATTAGATTCTAATTAACTCGTCTTAAGACAATCCTTAAAAAAAGTTTGTGCTCTCATAAAAAGGAAAAGAAAAAACACTATTTGTGCTCTCATAAAAAAGAAGTATTACTCGTATTTGAGTGTAAAGCGTAATATGCGTGTTATTAAATAATAAACGCATGCATAAACATTACGGAATTGACAAATATAATAGTGTTCGGATGGCCAATATCTATCCTCCAGGCCTTCTTCTTTTTACCTACCGAAAGTAGTCGTGCGAGTAATCATGAGATTATTTTGGTCCAACCCCTAACTCTAAGCACCTTGTTTGTTATGTGTGGCCCCTTAATTTTTGTTATTATTTAATTGTCATATATAATTATGTTTGTCTCTTCGACATAGATGGAGGGGAATGTAGTTTGTTGCCAGAGGCAAACACATTATCTTGATTAAGTGGCCTAATTTACATTCATTATAATTAACTAATCCATTGGTACATGCTCACGTATATGCCAATTGGTTTTATTTTTTATTTTTTATTTTATTTTTAGAATTAAGAAAAGATAATATGGGTAGTTATGTTTTATAAAAGTATAACCTATTATTTGATTTTGTTTTTAATTTTAATTTTTTTAATATAAAAAATGTGAATTTACCATATTATCCTCATTTATTTAATAATTTCAATTCTTAATATTTGAATTAACCGAGGGTATTTTCTGGTATTTTGAATGTTTCACCATTCTTTGCCTTTAAGGAGTAATGCTACACTTACCACATTTTTATCCCACATTTCTATATTACATGATGTTGCATATCCATATTATATGCCACATCAATTAAATCAATGAATTGTATTTTAATTAAGGCAATTAGAAAAATAAATATTGAAATAAATCATAAAAAAAATAAAATATCAAATAATTTTAATTGATGTGGTTGTCCACCTCAGCTGCCACATAAGATGGTATAAAGATGTAGTATACAAATGTGGTAAAAGTAACATTATTCTTTGCTTTATATATAGAGAGAGACTTTCAATTGAGTGATTTCTCAAATAAGTTTATTTAAGAGACACTCTTACAGTGCCTAGTTTGTATTGTGTTTTACTAATTTAAACCATTTATTTTGTATATATTCATTCAAAGTTATCTCTATAAAAATGACGAAAATATACAAAAATGCCAAGTAGACCCTATAAGTATGTCTCTTAAATAAACTTATTTGAAGAATCCCTTAACGAAAATTGCATCCCTTTCTATTTATATATATATATATATATATATATATGTTTCTGTGCGGATCCCTAAAAAGATGCAACATCATTGGTTCTATCCTGCAACTGATGATGGGCTCTATTTTATTCAACGATGGCCTCCATGTTTGATTTGAATAAATGGCAAAAAATAGAGCCATTAGCTCTTTCTCTATTATTGTTATTATAAATTTTTTCAGGCGATAGGTTGTTATATTATATTATTCTGTTTGTTCTGGAAAATTCTGGTTGATGTTATCGTCATGCAATAGTGTATGACCACTAGTGCCTGTCTTTGTGGTCCGGCAACCAGTTTGATCTCTTTAATTGTTGCATCCGCATAATCATCTTTAAGAGTTTGGAAGTGAAAATAAGATGCAAATCCTCATCTTTTATTTTTTTTATAAATGATGTAATTCTGAGAGTTTTCTTTTAATTTAAAAAAAAAAAGAGGGTCTAATTGCATTTTCAATGATGTATAAAAAGTGTCACATAAACATTTAACTACTAGAAATCACTCCTCTCATTATTCCAATCGAATTGTCAAAACTGATTTGAAATGAAGACTGAAGCCCTATACGTTTACTTTTGACATTGCAAAAGCAAAGCCTCAAATTATTATTATATTATTTTTTAAGACATAGGGCTGTTACTTCACTTATCTCTTTTCATTTATTATTTTATACTTTATCTTAAATGATTGGACGTTTCCTTCTTTCTCTTTTCAGCTTTTTTCATGTACAGTTAAATAATTTTGTTATTAATACAAATTTTTTCCTGTACTCTTTTCCTCCTATTGTATGTTACTCATTTAATTTTTATTTATAAATACATCTGTTCCAGTTCTATTTCTTCAACAACAACAACAAAACTTGTGCTCGAACACAATTCCCCTTTTATACCAAAAAAATTTCATTTTCTTTTACAGTACATTGTGATCAACCCTAAAATGTAATGAAATAATATTTTAATTTGATATATCGGGCGGAGTGTAAAACTGTGCAGAATATCAAATTACCACATCAATCATCAAATTTAAATTTAATATTTGGTATTTGACATCTTAAAGGGAGATGCTCTTATAATCTAGAGTGGTGATTTCCCCACTCCTATTTCTTCTATTTTATCCGCTTACACTCCTTTTTTATAACTAAAAAAGGAGTGTAAGTAAATAAAATAGGAGTGGGGAAATCATTACCCATAATCTAACTTGTGTTGAAAATGTTGACGAACAAGTATTATATCACTAAAATAAATAAATAAATATATATATATAAAACCACAGAAATTCACAGTCTGGTCCCATGTTAATTGATAAAGAAAATATTTTAACATAAAAAATAATATTGAAAAATAAATAATTCAAAAATAAAAAAAAGAAGAATATTCACATATAAAACTCTTTAAATAAAAAACCCGTACAAATTAAAAAGTGTGAATGAACATTTTATTATATGGTTTTTTTTAAATTTTTTTAACAAGTATGACGATTTG